TGCAGACTTTGAGTGTTGGGTCCTCGACAGGCGGTGTCAACGCCTGGCTCCTCCTCCCCTCTGTATTCCAATGTCCTGCGGCTATCGGCTGCGCCTCCCCCTCTTCCCTCCTGACGCCCTCGACGACTGCGGTGGCGGACCGACTACGTGCGACGTTCACAAGGCACGCTCCACAGGCAGGTGCCCCCGCGGGTCCATGCCGCCGAGGTGGCCGTTACTCGTCATTCCGACTACGCCATGTTGGGCCCTCGACTGCCGGCGTCGTGCATCACGGACCCTTAATTTTGAAGTGGAGTCTGAGAGGATAGCGGACGCTTGAGGACACGTGACAACGAACGCTGCCGTCGTCGACGCCGCCCCGACGCCGACGCCGACGACGCCGGCGGCGACGACGTTGACGCCGACTACGACGACGCCGACCCGCTGCAGCACCACAGTTGCCGCAGCCGCTGCTGCAGCAGCAGCAGCGGCAGCTTGCCTCCACCCGTCTCGTCGACAGAAGACAACGTCCCAGAGGGGAATCGAGGTGTGGTTGAGGCAGAGGCCACGATACCACCCCCCACATCGTCGTCAGGCGATGGCGCCCCAGTGGGGATCGAGAGGAGGTAGCCTGCAGTGTCCTGCGCGCAGCTCACACGTACGTCCCCCCCCCCTTCTGCTGCGCCAGCAGGCCAGAGGAAAGGAACGGGAAGTCACTGCGGAGGCCGCGGAGGCCGCGGAGCACCCCGCTCTGGTCAAACTGTCCGTCAGGTGTCCTCTGTTCCTGCAAGACAGTGGTATGGGGGGGGGGTCGCGGCGGAGACGGCGGGGGCTCGGGATGTCGACCATGACTGCAACGACAGACGTCCACTTTCCGACCTGTCACACTAACGACTCCCCCTTCCATTCGTGACAACAGGCCAGAGGAATGGTGCGGGGAGCCGGCAGAAGCGACGGGGGCTGCGGACGCCGCTGAGCACCCCCTCTGGGCCCCCCGCCCGTCTGCCGCCCTCTGGGCGCGCCCCTCTCTCAGCAGGGAGACCACGGGGCAGCCCCCCAGACACAGGACAGCGCAGCCTTTCGCCGGCCCTTACTGGCCCGTACGGGAGCACAGCCACTGATGACGCTGCAGTCCTGCACAAGTGGCACTTCTTTGGCAGGCTCCCCCTTCCCGCGGCGGGCCCGGCCCACTGCTGCGAAGGGTTTCCCCCCAGTTACTGCGACGGGGCCCCGACTTCCGACGGCCTTGCCCTGGCGACGCTTCCCCCCCACCAAGCGGCGACGCATGCCGACGACTTGCCGACTTTGAGCGTTGGGTCCTCGACAGGCGGTGTCACTGCCTGCCCCCCCCCTTTGTATTCCAATGTCCTGCGGCTATCGGCTGCGCCTCCCCCTCTTCCCTCCTGACGCCCTCGACGACTGCGGCGGCGGGCCGACGACGTGCGACGTTCACAAGGCACGCTCCACAGGCAGGGGCCCCCACGGGTCAATGCCGCCGAGGTGGCCGTCACTCGTCAAGGGCATGTTTCACCGCAGTGCGGCTCCGGCCTAATGCCTTTGAGTCACCTCCTGGGGGCGAGGTGCACCTGCCACAGCACTGCGCATAGATCCCACAATGGTGCGTGGGTCTGCCCGGGCGGCACTCCATCCGCGGTGCGCAGGTGACCCACCTGCCCGCAGTTCCCCCCTGACGTGCCTCGGACGCTGGTGATTGCGAAGTGGTTCCACACGACGTTCCCCTCTTCCCGGTGGGTGACAGCTGCCACGTGGGATTCGCGCCATGTCTACCGTCGCTGGAGTCAGTGGAGTTCTGCCTTCGAGCACGCGGTGCTCAGTGAGTGAGGCCCCCTCTTTTTCCTCTTCCGTCTTCTGTCGCCCCTTCCCGCGCCGCCCGGCTCTCTGGTCTGCCTCGCCCTCTGCTCTTCCTTCCAATTTGTATTGCGTGTGCACCAATTATCTGGTTCTGTGCCCCAGTTTGCCCGATCGACACGCCCTCTGGACTTTTCCTTGCGGGCCGCTGAACACAAAAAGTATCCCCGTGCCTGCGTGCATTGCGGCTGTTGGCTGCACCCCCCTCTTCACCCCGTGGTCAGATTCAGCCCTAGCTGCGTTCCAGCGCTCCATGAGGTGGTCGCGGCAGCTGCGAATCTCGGCGACTATCGTGACCGGCACCTGCGAGGTTGCAGTATACCGGCCTTTGGGCCAGCGTGTCATCTCTCATCGTTGCTGCCCCGACCAGTCAGCGGTTTCGGATACGATGACGACACGCCGGCCCCCCCCGGGCAACAGTGCGGTCCGCGGAGTGAATGTCTGTTGGTACTTGCCGTCTCCCCGCTCTCTCTGTGGTTAGATTCAGCCCTGACTACGCCCCAGCGCCTATGAGCTGGCCGCGGCTGCAGCGTACCTCGGCGACCTTCGGCCGTTGCCCGCTTGGCGGCAGTGCTGGCGCTTGGGCCTGCGTGTCCTCTTCCATCGTTGCATCCTGGCCTGTGACTGGTTCCGGAGTCGATGGCTGACGCGCCGGCCCCACCACGGGCAGCGGTGTGGATCGTGGAGCGAGAGCTCTGTAGGTCCCTACCTTTCCTCTGCCCCTGTCCCAGCCAGCCCCGCGTACGGCGGCGGTACGGACCTCGCGCTGAGTGGTTCAGCCTTCAGCGTGTCGCTTCGGTTCTACCTGTCTTCTTCGGCTAGGTTGGCTGCGCGGGCTGGCGCCGACAGGGCGACTCCCCGTTGCATACCACTGCGGTCTGCGTCGCCTCGGCGTGGCTGGCGCCTAGGTGCGTTCGCCTTAATGCGGGGCACTCTGCTCAGTGCATGTGCACACCTCGCATTCTTTGCGATTTATTACTGCCGGCGCGTTGCCTGTTGTAGCTAATTCGCCTCGCCTGCTGGCCCAGACGACGCCTACCGCTCCCTGTCCGCTGCCTCGGAGCCGCCGACCACGAAGTATCCCCGTGCCTCTAGTTGGTTGGTTAATCGTGCATGTGCGCGCTCCTGGACCTGGTCCCTGGCAGCTGCAGCCCGCACCCCCCCCTCACGCCGGCCCGCCCTCCGAGGCGCTGCTGAGGTCGCCGGCCCGTCGGCGTCAGGCAAGGAGGCTCTTGCGCGGCCCGCTCGGACCTTACTCGCCACTGGCGCCCTCGCCTGCAGCTGCGACAAAAAAGTATCCCGGTGCCTCGACAGCGGCACTCGCAGGCATCGACAGCGGGTCTCGCAGCCCACCCCCCCGACCGATCGGCGGTGCGGCGGGAGGACAGCCTACGCCGATGGACGTGGAAGACCCGCCCCCTGTCCGCCCTGTTTCGGACGAGGCTAACAGCCGAGATCCAGGCGGATCAGCCGCGCGCGACGTCAGGACAGCGTGCCGCCGGTTCCCGACCACCCCCGTCCGTTCCTCCCCCTCCTGCGGCCCTCTCTGCTCCCCCCCTTCCCCTTGGTCCCTTGGTTTGCCGGCTTGTTTCTCCACCTGCCCCTCCCTTTCTTTACTCGGAATGGCGCTCTCTGTGGTCTTCCAACAAGAAGCAGGGCCCGTTAGGCCAGAAGGAAGCGGAGTGACCGCCCCACCCCATCCTCCCTCAGGCGAACGAGGCACACTCTGCGCCCGATGTCCGAGTTCTCACGTCCACATGGACAACCTCGGCGGCCACCAGAGCTCACAGGAAGAAATTGGGCCCGTTAGGCCAGGAGGAAGGGGGGCGAAAGCCTCATCCGTTTCTACAAGGGGAACAGGCCCCGTTAGGCCAGAGGGAAGCGGAGTGACAGGCTCTCCCCCTCCCTTCCCAGGTGAACGAGGCACCCTTGGCATCCGACCTCCGAGCTCTGACGTCCAAGGGTACGCCCCCGGTGGCCAGCAGGCCTTGCTAGGAGAAACAGGGCCCGCTAGACCAGAAGAAGGCGGAATGGCGCTCTCACCGGTCTTTCAACGAGAACCAGGGCCCGTTAGGCCAGAAGGAAGCGGAGCGGCAGTCCCATCACGTCCCCTCACAGGCGAACGAGGCACGCCTTGCATCCGACGTCCAAGTCCTGACGTCCTCGCGGACAACCCTGGTGGTCATCAGATCCCGCAAGAGGAGGCAGGGCCCGTTAGGCCTGAAAGGAACGGGAACACTGCGTCACCGGTCTCACCAAGGGGAACATAGCCTGTTAGGCCAGAAGGAAGTGGAGCGACAGACCCTCCCCATCCTTCCGCAGGCGATCCAGGCAGAGGCACCCTTGGTATCCGAAGTCCGTACCCTGACGCACATACGGGCAACCCTGGTGGCCAGCAGACGCCACAAGGAGAGGCAGGGCCCGTCAGGCCAGAGGGAAACGGAGGCTCGGTTTCAGCGTCCTCAGCAAGAGAAGCAGGGCCCGTTAGGCCAGAAGCGAGCTGCGCCACGGCGACAGGGTTGCAGCCTGCCCTGGTACCCCTTTGCAGCGAGGCGCGAGAAACGGGCCAGAAAAGACAGCTGTCAGCGCCGCCTCGATGCATATGCGCTGGACAGCCGTATCCATTCGGCTGTCAATACCGATGACCTCGTCGAAGCATGGTCCCGCGACCTTTGCACTGAGCGTCGTGCCGAGCTCCGTCGCCACGGCGGAGCATTGCAAGACGCCGTCGCTTTTCTGTGCCCATTCTTGGAGTCCAATCCCGAACAAGACTGTGACCCAGGCCCCCTTCGCACTGCTAGCGGGCGCTTCGGTCGCTACGTGACGACTGCCGCGATGGGCATCGTTCGGCACGCGAAGCTACAGCACGAGACACGACTTCACGAGGAGAAAGCCGCTGACGAACCCTCCGACGGCCCAGCCGATCAGGGGGTGGCTTCCGCGTCGCCAGCAGGGCCAAGCCCTGCTGGCCTCCCGGCTCCGCCTTTCCCGCCTAGACCGCCCAACCTCCGAGACGTTCGGGTCGGTGATGATGCCGCAGAGTCCCCCCGCTCCGCCAGCGGTCAAACCGTTTCGGCGGGTGGCGAAAAATCGAGGCGTTCCCCAGACTGCAACGCGTGGGATCAGCCAATGATCGCGCGCGCGGCGGAGCCATGGCTGCCAGCTGCGACGATGGCGCCTGGGACCCCATGCGGCGCTACCCGAAGACCTCCGAGCGCGGCGAGGTGGTAGGTTTCTGGGTGCATCGTGACCAGGTGTATTGGCATGCCCACAAAGAACGTGAATGGCAAGACTTGTCCCACTATGACTACAACCACTGGTTCCCGAGAGACCTAGGCAAGGGATACAGTAAGGACAAGGACGAGTCCGAACATGTGAGGCCAGCCCCATATGCTGGTTCTGGCAAAGGCGCCAAGCCTTCGGCGTCTCCCTCGCCAGCTTGGCAGAAAGGAGGTGCCTCGTCATCGTGGACTCCGAGGCCTCCTGCGCCGCCGACACGTTCTGCCGACTCGCGGCACTACGACCAGAAGAAATACTGGCAGAAGAAGTGAGCAAGGAGGAGAGTCGCACGACCTAGTCGTTACGACGTGAGAGGCCCGGCTTAGCGCGGAGGTGGGGTACGTAGGCGTCCTTCAGCCCATCGTCCACAGCCGGCCTGGAGTGTTTTGCGCTCCTCCAGGTTGTGCATATGTACAGGGGCTGGCGGATGTAGGCTGACGGTCTCTTACGGACCCCGCCGCGGGGGGAGTAGAAATGTTCCTCTCCGCCTCATCTTCTAGTTGCCTATCCTGCCGCCTGCCTTGCTTGACATTGATACATTAACAGCTGTTTGGTATCAAGCCAGAAAAGGAGCGCGCTGCCGCGCGCCCGCGCACGGGCGTCGGCCGGCCGGCCTCCTCCCTTCCCGTGCTTCTTACCATTTGCTATACGGATTATCCATTGTCTTAGCCATGGCTCAGCCCAACCCCTCTCTCGCTGAGCATGTAGCCCGCGGTATCAGTGTTGGAGATCAAGAGACCATAGCTCCTTTGGCATATTACCCCGATTCTCGGAGGAAAGATTAAATTTCCTGTTCAGCGACACGTTGCCTTGGTAGCACCATGACTGTATGCCGGCACGTCGAAAGCCTGGGCGCGGCAGTATCTTTGGCCCGAGATGTGTTCAAGAAAGGCTGTTTCGACGGGGCGAACTCTGGCGCGCGGCTTTCGGGGTGCGCGCGGGCAACCATGAGCGACACCAGGACGTGCGTACGCGTACGCACCCGCTTCGACACGCGAGGTTTCTTGACAACAGCGGCCTCGCGAATTGAGAGGGCATGTTCATGTCCGTGGCTTGGTGCGTACGTCTTGTTTGGGCTCCCTGGGGGGGCGAAACCCAGGCATGCAGGACGCGTCACATCGTGCGCAACGATCCGCCAGCCGCACACCACGGGGCACTCCTTGACTCTGGGGACACCTCTTGCATGTGGCCGTTCCTCGGCCCGCGGCGGGTTTGGTAGACCCCCCTTGGGTTGTACCACAGATGCGGGTCCAAAGAATATGCGCCACGACCACCTCCGTTCCCCTTCCTCCTCCACGCTCCTCTTCCTCTCCCCTGGGAGAAAGAGGGGATGAGGGAGGTGGTTGTGGTGGTGTATATTTCTGGGCCCCGCAACAGAGGACTTGTCCTCCAACTCTCGGCGCAGGGTCGGTCAGGCCTGGGTGGCGTGCCCCCCCCCCCCCCTACACACAGGTTTTGGTTCAAGTCGGAGCAGGAGCAGCTTCAGGCGGAGCGGGAGCACGCGGAGCAGGCCTGGGGCCACACCGGCGACAGGGGATGAAAGACGAGGGGGAGGTGGAGGAAGAGGGCGAAGAGGAGGATTGAGGGGTGAGGGGTGAGGGGTGATGGTGAAAAGAAGGAGGAGTCAGGAATGATAGTGAGGAGGATGGGCGGATGGATGGAATGCCCGAAGGGGGAGGTGCGAGCATGCACCACGCGACGCGCAGGGTCCAATTCCGGGCACTCTGGAGAAAGGGGACGGCAAGTGAACGGGCCATACCTCTTCCTGAAGGGACGAACAAGATATCGAACTGACCCGCGCCGCACGCCCCACCGCCGCACGGCAGAGGCAGAACGGCCAAGGCAGGGCGGAAAGGAGTCGCTAGACATGGTTCGGACCGGAAGTCCCGCGGCGGTTGCGTTCAGGGGTCTGAAACCCGGGCCCGGCGTGGGCCAAAGTTCAGACAGACTCGACGGATTTGCCCCCACGTGGGGCGTTTCGCCAGGGTTGCTCTGCGTGTGTTATGTTCCTCTTCCCTCCTTCCTCCTCTACCTCTCTCATCTTTTGACACGGACGCCGCCTCCAAGAGGCACTCCGTGACGTGTGCACCTTGCCGTTGCAGAGCAATGTTCGCATGACTGTTGGAAGCTGTTGTGCTGTCGACAGTCTCGGGACATAGACTGGGTCGGCTACCGTGGCCAGCCCGCCACACCGCCCCAAACGGCATCGCACCCAGCACTGAGAGCGCCCACCAGAAGAGTGGGTGGCCGTGCTCCGAGGCACCCTGCCTCATACGCAGATCACGGGCAGTCCCCCACTTACCCCAGTGGGGCCAAAGGGCGCCCAGGCAGCACGGATTGGCGTGAGTGCTAGTGAACTGCGCTGAAAAATTATCGATCATTGACGACTCATAAGGAGGAGGAGGAGGAGGAGGAGGAGGAGGAGGAGGAGGAGGAGGAGGAGGAGGAGGAGGAGGACGAGGAGGAAGAGGAGGAGGACGAGGAGGAGGAGGAGGAGGAGGAGGAGGAGGAGCGATGAGTGAGCAGCCAAAGAAGGAGGAGCAGCAGCAAGGGTAGCAATTAGATGAGTTGGAGCGGCGGCAGCTGGCTGTGGAAGAGGATCTAGTGTCTAGAGCTCCGACGCTGTGTTTTTCCCAATGCGGGTTCCCTGGACCTCTCGGTTCCTTCCCTGGGAGTCTTCAAATCTGGATTGTTCTTTGATTGTCCCAGCCTTGGAAAATGGTCCAGAAGGTTGAAAATCTAGAAGACATAGTCCGCCATGATTTGTGTAAAGTGCGAGAAAGCAGAATCCGCCATGACTTGTGTAAAGTACAAGAGGTCCAAGGAGAATAGGAATCTGATGATGATGATGAGGAGGAGGAGGAGGAAGAGGAGGAGGATGAAAACGATAATGAAGAGGGGGAGGAGGAGGAGGAGGAGGAGGAGGAGGAGGAGGAGGAGGAGGAGGAGGAGGAGGTCGAGGACGGGGAGGAGCGGGAGGGAGAGGAGGGGGAGGAGCAGGAGGAGGAGGGCGAGCAGGGGAGGATGGGAAGGAGGAGGAGGAGGAGGAGGAGAAGGAAGAGGAGGTGGAGGAGGACGAGGAGGAGGATGAGGAGGAAAGGGAGGTGGAGGAGGAGGAGGAGAAAGAGGGCGAGAAGGGCGAGGAGGGGGAGGAGAAGGGCGGGTAATATGGGAAGGTGGAGGTGGAGGAGAAGGAGGAGGAGGAAAAAGAAGAGGAGGAGGGCGAGGAGGGGGAGGATCGCGAGGACTGACGGATCAGGGGGCCCCGGGGCACCAGGCCTTCTCCTCGCACGTCATCGAGGATGACGGCGACTCCCCGGCGCCGCCCTTTGGCGGCACGGTAGAGCCCGCGCCCGGCGATGAGGCGGGCTCCTGGCTGCCCCCGGCCCGGAGGCCTCCCTCGCGGAGGCCCCTACCCAGACTCGGGCGGGTGGTAACGGGGTCATCGAGCACAGCAGAACCCCTACCCCACCGTTGCCTCCCCGTCTTTGCGTTTGAGATAGCAATTATGGGCGGTCTGGTTTATTACATCTGCAGAGAAGACCCCCTTCCTAAATTTGTGGGGCCCTCCTAAACTACGTAGGTTCTCTCCCATGGGTTAGGGGTCATGCTTTTGCTAATCATGGGGGATGACTTAAATTCGGGATGAAGAAAAAGGCCCTAAAGGGGCCCAGTCTTCACCCCCAATTTAGTGCATCCCCTATCACACCCGCCCGAGACACGCTTGCGTCGCAGATAAATGTCAGCGACCCGTTTTGTGCTGTTTCTGGCCTCTGGCCCCCAGGGCCGTCACGAGCAGCATCGGGAGGAAAAGCTGGCCTTGGGGCAACGCTCGGGACTTCCGCGGGGCCCGTATTGAAAAGGTCAAGGCATCGCATTTCTGGGTTTCGAGGGCGGCCAAGAGGGGGTAATGTTGTGGATGGGGGGGAGGGGTATCTTGGCAGGCGCCAGTATATTTCCCCGCAGATGGCCTCTTACTATTATTACTAGTATTATTCTTATTATTATTATTATTATTCTTCTTCTTACTACTACTATTATTATTAATAGTATTATTATTATTTGTATTAGTCGCATTGTTATTCTTATTATTCGTAGTAGTATTAGTATTATTATTGTCATTATTCGTATTATTGTTATTCGCATTTATACTCCTAGTTTGAATCATACTATCATAGTATCAATCTGTTTATATATATATACATATAAATGAGTATTTATATTTTTATGCGTATAATCGGTATCGTTATTCTTCTGACTATTCTTATCATTAATACTATGATTGCTTTTCTTCTTCCAAGACGTCCCCTGGCCCACCCCTTCGTGCGCGCACGCGCCTCTGGCCCTGATTTGCAAAACCACCTTTCGGACGCACCCCTCCCTGGACGCCCCCGGTTCTTCCTCAGGCCGCCCGACTGAGGTCGCTACTGCTGCCTCAGCGCTGATTTGGTTTTCGTCGGCTCCGGAGGCGTTCGGGAGTCTCTGGACGTTTTCGAGCGCTGCTATCGTAGGTCGCGCCATGTTTTCGAGCACTCTCAGAGGTCACCCGTGTCTGGGCCTGTGGGATTCTCAGAGGGGCAAGAGAGCGAGGTGAGCGTGGATGTGGGGGGCGGGCGACAATGGAGTCATGGATGGCGGAGAGAAGGAGGGATTAATCACACGACAAGGGAAGAGTAGAGCAAGGACTCCCCGGCCTGCGGAAGTTAGCGGAGGCTCGGCAGAAGACGGCGAAAACACACAACACAATCAATATCTTAACCCCCCGCATCGCGCCCTCCTTCGATTTCCTTTCTCTCCCTCCACTTCCTCTCTCCCTCCCTTCCTGATCCATCCACCATCCAAGCCCCCCCTCCCTCCTTTCTGCCTCTTACCCCCATCCCGGCCGCCTCCCTCCCTATGCCCTCCGTTCAGTGTCCGCCCTGGAGACCCCCGACCCTCGGCGCGACAGGCGGGCATTGAGAATCCGCCCGAGGACGAGGTGGCCACATTGGGCGGCCAGGCCCCCTGAGCAGAAGAAGAAGAAGGAGGCAGGGGAAGGGAGGAGGAGGGAGGAGAGGAATGGCGGAGGAGGGGGGCGGGGACGGGGGGGGGGAAGATAGGAGGACGTGGGGGGAGGTGGGAGGAGGTGGGAGGAGGAAGGAGGAGGAGGAGGAGGAGGAGAAGAAGGAGGAGGAGGAGGAGGAGGAGCGGGAGAGGGCGGTGCCTCGCGCCTGGCCTTGCCCCCGCTCGCTCTCGCCGCCCGGGCTTGGCTGCGGACAGCCTGCAAGCGAGCTCTCGGTCGCGGTTTGGTCCCCAGGACCTCTCCTGGTCGCCATCCTGACAAGCTTTCCGAGCTGCGTCCAGCCGTGGCGACGACAAGGGCTCCTCGAAGGTTTCGTCAGGAAATGAGGAGGGGAGAACTTGGAGGGTGGAGTGGGCTGGGGGGCTGAGGTGAGGCATCACTGGTTCGTATATACGTCTTCCTGCGCCGCGCCCGGCCGCGCAGTTGTCTGTGGGAGGCCGTTCCAGCGCCGCTCAGCGGGAGGCTCATCCCTGCCGCGATTCTGCAACTGCCTCGGCATCTGCGCGTCCCCTTGTCCTGCCAGGGCCAGGGAGGAGGAGGAAAATAGAGGGAGGAGATGACGCTGCCTTGGCGAAACGCGCATGGCTGGCGTATTCGCTTCTTGGGGTTGGAAAGGTAGCCGAAGACGACTCAAGACCCCCCCAAGTTGCCCAAAGACGGCCCAAGAGGCCCCCGAGCCCCGAGGCGGCATAGGATGCTCCCAAGACGACCCAACAGCGCCCCATGAAGGGCCCCAGAGGCCCCAGGAGATTTCGAAGAGACCCAGAGAGGCCCCGAGCAGAGGCGGCAGGGGGGAGCGGTGCCGCGTCCAGGGCGCATGGGCCGCACCTCAACATATTCTGGATGGGACAATAATCGCCCCCCCCCCCCTCCCCCTGAATCCGCTGGGGGGGTTGGGCACGTGCTGTCAGAACGGGTGAGGGAGGTTGGAGGAGGAGGAGGAGGAGGAGAAGCAGGATGAGGGAGGAGGAGGAGGAGGAGGAGGAGGGGGAGGAGGAGGTGGAGGAGGAGGAGGAGGACGAGGAGGAGGAGGAGGAGGAGGAGGATGGGCACGGGCTGGTTTCGCCGGGGCTGGTTTCGCCCCACGCTGGTTTCGCCCGACGCTGGTTTCGCCGGCGCTGGTTTCGCCCGACGCTGGTTTCGCTGGCGCTGGTTTCGCCCCGCTGGTTTCGCCCCGCTGGTTTCGCCGGGGCTGGTCTCGCCGAGTCCGCTGCCGCCGCCGTCGTTGTCGTCGTCGCCGTCGCCGTCCTCCTCCTCCTCCTCCTCCTCCTCCTCCTCCTCCGCCTCCTCCTCCTCCTCCTCCTGCTCGTCTTCCTCCCTCTCCTCGCTCCTCCTCCTCCTCCTCCTCCTCCTCCTCCTCCTCTTCCTCCTCCTCCTCCTCCTCCTCCTCCTCCTCCTCCTGCTCCTCCTCCGCCTCCTCCTCCTCTTCCCCGTCTCTTCCTCCTGGCCCTTCTCCTCCTCCTCCTCCTCGTCCTCGTCCTCCTCCCCCTCCTCGTCGTCCTCGTCCTCCTCCTCGTTCTCCTCCTCCTCCTCCTCGTCCTCCTCCTCGTCCGTCCCCTCCCCCTCGTCCTGGTTGTCGTCCTCCGCCTCCTCCTCCTCGTCCTCCTCCTCCTCCTCGTTCTCCCAGGGGCTCCTTGCTCACGTTTTCTCGCAGAAGGCCTCTGGCTGCGCACCCCTCAGCCGACGCCCCGCGTCCGAGCGCACCAGGTACCCGAATCGGGCACTGGGAGGGCGCCGTCGTCGTCTCCCTCCTCCTCCTCCTCCTCCTCCTCCTCCTCCTCCTCCTCCTCCTCCTGACCAGTCTGAGCGGCTTCCGCCAGGGAAATGCGATTACCGGAGTTTGGGTCCGAAATTCCGCATTTCCGGACCAAAGTCGGTCGGGTCGGGTCGGGTCGGGCGGACCTTGACGGGCGGGTCGGGTCGGGTCGGGACGGGCGGACCCTAACGGGCGGGCCAGGTCGGGCCGGCGGGACATGAAAGTGTGGTGCATAATCGAGAGAGCAGGCGAGAACCCTGACAGTGGGATCGAAGGGTCGGGCGGACCCTAACGGGCGGGTCGGGTCGGGTCGGGCGGGCGGACCCTAACGGCGGGTCGGGTCGGGCGGGCGGGACATTACAGTGTGGCGCGTAATCGAGTGGGCACGCGAGAACCCTAACAGTTGGGTCGGCTCGGGTCGGGCGGACCCTAACGGTCGGGTCGGGTCGGGTCGGGCGGACCCTAACGGGCGGGTCGGGTCGGGTCGGGTCGGGCGGACCCTAAAGGGCGGGCCGGGTCGGGCGGGCGGGACTTTAAAATGTGGTACAGAATCGAGAGAGCACGCGAGAACCCTAGCGGTCGGGCCGGGTCGGGTCGGGTGGACCCTAACGGGCGGGTCGGGTCGGGTCGGGTCGGGCGGACCCTAAAGGGCGGGCCGGGTCGGGCGGGCGGGACATGAAAGTGTGGTGCGTAATCGAGTGGGCACGCGAGAACCCTAACGGTCGGGTTAGGTCGGGTCGGGCGGACCCTAACGGGCGGTCGGGTCGGGTCGGGCGTACCCTAACGGTCGGGTCGGGTCTGGTCGGGTCCAGCGGCCTTGACCCTCTTCCTTCCTCTCTCCGTCCTGCCCTCCCTCGGCCACCTTCACCACCTTTACCTCCAACTCCTCCTCGCCCACCTGTGATCACATTAACCATTTGAACGCCTATGGCAAAGGGCGGCATCACACTTATCGTCTTGCCAATGCTTACCGTTGGTGGGAGTTCTGGCACTTGCACTCGCTCTGTACGGCTGACACGACCCTTGTGCATTGCCGCTCTCATCTTGATCACCCCGCCAAGTTTGAGCGTTATTGGAGGACCGCGGTCGCGGAGCATGTTTTCATCAATCGCGTGGCCGACTCTCTAGCAGACCAGCGGGCAGAGCAGGCACAACTCCCAGCACACCTGTGTAGGGACGTGCTGGAGCTGGAAGCCAAAGCCAAGTCTGTTCTGCTCCGTGCGGCTTCCATTACGATTGAAATAGCGTCCCGGCCGAAAGATAGCTCGCGTGTTGTCGCTAAGAGCCCGATCGATCGTCCGGAGAGAGCCAAGCAGCGCAGGACAGCGCTCGTCCGCTCCTCGCTGCACATTTTTTTCTTGCAGCACCCAAGTCTTGGCGGTGCTGGGAGTGCGGCCTCCATGCTCGTGAAAGATCTGGGGACTTTTGGAACCAGGTCTTGTCTGCCTGTCCGGCCCTAGCCCCCAGACCTCCCGTCTCGCTCCCTAGGGTTGTCCCGTCCATGGAGCCTGTGGCCCCCGTGGATGAGTTGCTTTGGCGTAGTTTGTGCATGGAGGACCCCCCACAGCGTGTTGCTCACCCTGCCTATGTTTATGGGCAGCAGTTGCATTCCAGCAATGAGCTGTGGTTTAAAGGTCGGTTTTCTTTTTGTGGGTTGTGTGGAGCCTGGGCCAATCATAGACCAGTCAATCTTTTGGTTGGTTGCACTCTGGCCCTTGAAGGCCCCCACGAGATCACCCCCAAGCAGCTGCAGGTTCTCCAGCGTGTTCGCAAAGGGAAGCCTCCTCAGCAGTCTGCGTCCGAATGGGGCACTGCGGAGGGATTTGACCTGTAGATTTTTCTGCCACCAAATTTTAACCTGTCTGTCAGAGTTTGGCTTGGTGTAGCACACAGTGAAACATCCTCCTCCCCCACCTCCCCCACCTCCTCCTACTCGTCCTGCCTCCGTAGCCATTTTGGCTCAAGGTACCCATGTCGCCCAGCGGCCGCATGGATACCGCTGGTCCGCGGCTAGACCACTGTGTTTCTCTGCGCCTTCACGGGGGGAGTTGGGCGCCCTCACTCAGTTCTTTTCGTGTGGATGGGCAGCGGCCGTCGCAAGGACAAGAAGGCTCGCAGGCAGGTGCAGCGCTCGAATGACTCGGACAAGTCGCCTTCTTCTTCGGCTTCTCCTTCCGCTCGCTCTTCTCGTCGTGACCGCCGTGGTGACCGTCGGCCCCCGCCGAGCTCTGGCGCCGCCAGCTCCCAGCGCTCTCGCAGCGCTGGTCGCAGCACGGCCCGCGGCGAGCCGCCAGGTGGACCGATGTCTCGTGAAGACATGGAGGCGTTGGACTTGTGCCCGACCTTCCAGCCTGACGAGCAGGCCGCGGTCGAGGCTGCACAGGCACAACGTGCAGGCGCTCTACCAGAACATGCCGCTGGTCCCTGGGCCCCTGGGGCGCCTGTGGTTGGCCTCCGCACGCCGCTTCAGGAGCCCGCAGGCGCTCCGAGCTGGCCACCTGGCGCCGACCCATGGGCAATTCATCTCCGCGGTGCCCCTGGTTGTCCAGCTGCTCCTCCTCCTGTGGCTGGCGACGCGGCGGCTGCTGGGGCGGCCTCTGGCGACGCGGCGGCCTCGGCCAGTGCCATCCCTGGCATGTCTGAGACGCTTGAGCGCTTCAAGACGGACATCATCGCAGAGATGTCTCGCGCTTCCGCCGAGTCCATCGCCAACACGGTTCGCACGGAGCTCCCGCGCACCATCTCGAACGTGGTGCAGCCCTTGGTCGCCCAGCTCGACACGGCGATGCAGGCGAGGTTCAAAGCTCAGGAACTCCGCATGGTTGAGGTCGAGGAGCGGCTGGGCGTGGCCGAGTCCGCTCACGCTTCGCTCGCCGACCGCTTCTCGAAGTTGGAGCAGGAGCTGGACTTGGCTCGGGCGGCCCCGCGCGAGCCCATTGCGCGGACCGCTGAGTGGCAGCGCGCCACGGATCTTGGCATCTTCGTCATCACCGCGAAGGAGGACGTCGGCAAGAACTTGGTCGTTGATGCGCTGGCTGGTTGGATGCAGGCCGCCAATTATGAGGCCGGCAAGGACTACGAGCTGGAGGGGGACGAGCTGGGTCGCAGGTTCACTCTCCGCTTCAATGCCCTTGCGGTCACTTGCGTTTCGCGGGGTCGTCAGGCTCATGCTCTTCTTCGA